TCAAATAATCGCTTAACGATAAACAAATATTCGTTGAAAAAAGAATTTTTGCAATTTTACAAGTTACTTCACGTATCTTAATTATTGTTTAAGGAACGAATAGGAGCGAAGAGAATATACTCTTTCCTTTTGGCTTACTTTTGAAGGCTACGCTTATATTATGTCAGAGCTATTGTAAAAACAGTCAAGTTCAATGTAATATTTAGACGCTTAACTTAAATTGAATATTGCATAAGTATAATGAGACGTCTACTGTAACGATTGTAAATATAGAAAATTCAACAAGATTGGGATTTTTTTCCATACCCCTTCTCCACCCTCTCCCCCATCTCCCCCCGTCCCAAACATTTCATTTTCAAAATAAGATTTAAAATAAAAAAAAAAACTAAAAAATTATAGACAATCAAAATACGTAAAAACAGATTTTCTACAATGCCACAACAGATGCTAAATTGTAGATCTTTATTTTATAATCCGACAGAATTCTTACGTAACTAGCGCCTCCTCATCCTCTCTTTTTAATTTTCATAATAGACATTTGTTCCTCTCGTATACAAAAAAACGCGTCTTATTATTTTTGTCTCACAATGCCAGTGCGATGCAATCGAGACTTTAGGGAGTAATTAAAAATTACCATTAGTCATTGGACGTTAAAATTTTAGTTTATTAGAAACAATCTCGGATAATGCTTTAGCTTCGCCAGCTTTACGCGCGTTATAAAACAAAAAATATTAAATTTTATCCGTGATTATTTATATCCTTTCATTTCATCCGCAATAATCTTTGTTTATGCTCTTGTAACATTAAGTTTTCGCAAATCATCCGCGATTATCTTGAGACTGACCATGAGATTGAGAATGGAATGAAGTTAGACGTCACAATGGACTCGATGGTTTTGGCGGCCGCCCAACAATCCTGAGCCCCATAAATTCTTCATCCGTTAGAAAAGCATTTCCGCACATTCCACGTCAAAATCCGTGACCTAAATCCCACGGAGGGGAGGGATGAGTGCGTGCGAGGGTGCGAGGGTGCGAGGGTGCGTGCCTGCGTCGAGACAGCCAATCAAGACAGGCTAAAAATTGTTTACGGGCAAAGTGGCACACACAACACACATACAATGTGTGAGAGAATGAAGAGCCAATGCACCACGCGATTGGATGACTATCCAAATAAGAGATGGGTGGGGAGGGTGTGGTACCAGCTGCGGTACCAAGCTGCGCCCGACCATTGCGAGTCCAATCGCGACTCGAGCCAAGTTTTGCCGCAGGCGCACGAATCAGTCCGCCTATCGATTCGACCAATGTATTCTTCAGGCCCATTGTCAGCTACCGCCCACGCACGAATCGACCTTATCACGGCTTTATAGCTCCAGGTCTTGGTTCATCTGTCTGCGTTCCGTCGACCCTCGGTCCATCGTCCGTCTTTCCCATTGTTTTGAGCTTCCGCGCATTATTCATTCGTCACACGAAATAGAGAATTTTAAGGCGATTATTTGCGTTCGATTGAAATAAAAAATAAATTTTGTGCCTTCGTAGCACTACTCGTAAGAATGCCGAACAATTTTAACATTTCTCGAGAGATTTTTATGTCTCTCTTATCGCACGCACGGTTAATTACTTTTATTTGCGCGTCAGATTCGACTTGAGCGGCAGATTTATCGACCCGCGCAGCCTATCCACGGCTGTCGATTCGGCCTCTTAATTCGGTCGTTTATATTAAAAAAAAAAAAAAAAAAAAAAAAAAAAAAAAAAAAATAATACCTTATCGATCATCTTTATGCGAAATTTGCACATTCGATTTTTATCGTCATCGAACGATTGAACGGCATTATATTATCAGTAAGTATAGGATGCCGTACTCGCTATTAACTAATTTTATACATGAAAATTGGAGTTACTGAATTATTCGTATAAATATAGCACATTATTTTCACAAAGGTGTAAGAAAGATTTGCATATCTTTTAGTACGAGACACAATTTACAATTATCGCACATTTCATCGTCGTAGATTTTATTAGCGTATAGTGCAAACGACAAAACGTTACGTAACGCCTAAGCTTTGGAAGTAAATTTTTATTTTCGTAATCTTAGTCAAGTTATTAAAAGTAGAAAATATAAAATATGTATCTTTAGAAGATGAATAATGTCCATGATAAATACGTGCGCACGTACAGAGAGAGAGAGAGAGAGAGAGAGAAAGAGTTTCAACTATGCAAGATACTTTTTTTCTTATACTTTAATGAAATTAATATTTTTTTTTTTTTTTTTACAAATTTTGTTTATAACATCGCTATTTAGTCAAACTTGAATCAATATGATAAATTCTCTTAATATATATATATATATATATATATATATATATATATATATATATATAATTATTATATACAGTAACTGACATATAAATTGCAAATAAAATAAAATCCTTCAATGCATGTAGAATATTTGACAATAGTTTACTCGACATCGTCATCGTCTTATTATATGTGACTAGTTACATTATTACATCCTATAAATAAATTAAACAAGGTGAAACATTTATATCCCATCGTTTACCTTATACAATAATTATAAAATACTTTATATAAATTAATTAATTAATTGATAATGCAACTGTTTAATGTAAAAATGTAAATAATCAAACGAGATTGATAAGTGTCAAGTACGAAGGTATTAAAGATAATCTGGAAGCGCATAAAAGTAAGCTAATTGGATTAATTAAATGCGAATAATTAGAAGAGAATTAATTACAAACTTTATAAGATTGTAAATAAATTTCCGTTTTGTTCGATCGCTCGTCAACAAAGTTTTTAGATAATAATTTTTTCAGCGGTCTTATCGATCGGCAATCATCATCGATCAGGATTGGTCGTTTCAGAATATCCTTGAAATGCCGAGCAACGAGTCAGTTATTCGATATTTTGATAAGCTATCGGTACAAATTCTACATAATATTGCGTTCTTTCGGTTAATCGACCGCCTCACCTTCATTCATACTCTTCGTACCCGATTACGTAAAACATCCCATAAGTTTTCTTTTTTGGTTTTTTTTTTTTTTTTTTTTTTCTGTTTTCACCAACTTGGCCCCAACCTGCATACAAACCTGCCCCAACATTATCATAGTAAATTTAGCCTTGAAAGAATGTTGCGAATGTACGTTTCCGAAACGAGTTGCCGCCTCGTATGATGTAAAAAACAAAAACAAAAGAACATTATCGATAATCTAGCCGCTAAGCGGTAGCATTTGCTCGATGGTGGTGGCGTCGTGATTTTGCACGTGCAGCCGCGTACGTCGTATTGCAGTAATCGTACGTCGAAGCGGCGACAGGGACATCGACTGGTCGGCTGCGGGTAAAACTCTAGTCATATCGGATATGTCGCGGTGGTGTGGGCATTGACATTGCCGAGGCCGGGATCGAGGTAGACGAAAAATCCGCGCGACTATATATCGAGTGAACCAGCTGGTTATTGAGCCATGACCGTCACAGGGAGCCGAGTCGGCTCGTCGCTCGTCGCTCGTGTCGGCTCAGTCGATTTAACATTACTGGGTCAACGCTGGCCCACTTTAGCCTTAGGCGTCGACCCCCCCACCCACTCACCCACCCCCAAGTAACACCCACGGCTACTTTCCACCGCGCCTGGAATACGTAAATCCATAAAGTGTACATACAAGTCGCGAGTCGCGAGTCGCTCATGGGTTTGCCTGGTTAGTGACTATCGTTAGTAAAACATTTCGCTCGCTACGTGCATTGTTAATGTGGAGCGCAGCAGCGCTTTATGAGCGATTACGCGCTGCCAGATGAGAATTAAGTACGATAAAAGGATTACGATCACATGATTTTCTTTCTTTCTTTTTGTTTTTTTTGTTTGTTTGTTTTTGTTTTTTTTTTTTTTTGTTTTGTTTTTTGTTTAACGACGAGATGCGTATTAACGTTCATTATCGTGCTTAAAGATAGCGTATTTAACGATAAGCGTTCGAGAAATAAATTATGGGTTCGAACGTACGGCATTAACGGCTTTATCCAACAGTCTATCGATTATTACGTGGCAATAGATAGTTATGTTCGATAATATGCTGCTGAATATTTTATATTCGGGCTTTGCGTCAAACGCATTTGCTTGGCGTTTGTCTTTCAAAGGGCTATTATCGTGATTTTCATTTGCTCGTGGTGGTTTTCGATTTTCAATTCTGTGTCGATGCCGTATAGAGCACGTCGGTGTATCATTTGGCGTCCTTCATTCATATATATACTTTATTATTACTTTCAGCAGTCCCTTTCTATCTACTTTTCTTCTATGCTTTCTGTTCTTTGCCGCTAAATAGATAACAAGCAGTTTCGTAGATATTTGATGTAACGGCTAAACAGTATTTATAATATAATTAAACACTCTAATATATTAATTTAAAAGTTATTTATTTATCTATTAATAAACGAAATATATTAGCAGACATAAAAGTCGTCGTAGTAGTAGTTATTTCCAATATTTGAGCTCCGATAAGCTTGTCTAAATTATTAAAAAAAAAAAAAAAAAAAAAAAAAAAAAAAAAAAAAAAAAAAAAAAAACAAAAAAAAACAAAAAAAAAACAAAAAAAAACAAAAACAAACACAAAAAAAACAACAAAAAAAAAAACATTCTGATACGAAAAACGACACGTACATGGCGTGTACGATATAAGAGTCTATCGCTAATAAGAGTATTTTAATTTCTATAATTTAACATATCACGAGCAATGAAATTCTTAAGTTAAAATTAACAAATATATATATATATATATATATATATATATATATATATATATATATATATATTATAAACTGAGAATTTTTAATAATATAGAGTAAGCTTTTTAGGCATTTTAAGCAAAATATTTATCGTCATAAGTATTCAAATTCAACATATTAATTTTAAAATGTCCTATTATAATGTATAAGTTGTATAGCGTTACGAGATGCACTACATAATGAAAAAGTAAATTAAATCTAAAGTAAATGTTTAATTACGTGATTTTGTTTTATAGATATACAGGCCACTGCCCGACCCTGAAGTTTCGCGTTGGCAAGCGATATGGAGCATGTACCGAGGAAATTATGAAAGTAAATCTACAGTGAAAAATTTAAGGGCCACGAGCCATGCGTAAAATAATCGTTGACGTTTATTTTGTCTTTGTTTGATTGTTTATTTTTGTTTTTTTTTGTTTTTTTGTTTTTTTTTTGGTTTATCCTGTAGGAACTAATCGAGAAAAAGATTCTTAAGACAGGCCCGTATAGGCCAAGCTCCGGTAAAGAAACTTTAGCGCCAATTCAGCGAGACAAGGATGTTAAAAGGGACTGGAAACAGGACTCGTGTATATACAAAGCCCCACCGTATATATTAGGTTACACAGGTACGTTACAATTATTGTTTCTCGATGCTAATTGGCAAATCATCAAAATTCTCAAATACTAATGCATACTGTTGGGTAGTATTGTCGTTGTCGTCATTGTTGTTTAAGCCGTCCAATCATCGACAAAGTGACTTAAAATGTTTCGGTAGTATTATGAATTATCTATCTTATTAATTCGTTGTAAAAATAATGTTCTCGTTAAACATTAAAGTCTTGCAAAGTAAATCATTTTCGCGAAGCGAACGAGCTCGTTATAATTACAAAGCTTTCTCATTGCCGATAGATATCTTCGACATAAGAAGCAATTCCAAGATAAAATAAAATAAAATCATCTCGCTTACAAATTACTTTCTATTATACTCTCTCGTTATGTAAAAAGTAAAATAGTGCTTCCAATTATGAGAGTGCGACCGTTGACATTATAAACAAGAGAAATTACACGCAACAAATATATCTATTCATCGGCTAGAATTGCTCGTAAGGGATATCATTCAATTATACACGACATAGGTGATATTAATTTAATAGAATTATAATAATCAAATCAAAAATAAAATGCAAAACGATACGATTCCATGAAATTATCTTGGATTTTTGTTTTATACTTTATTCATACACTGTTCTACCACCCCGCCTACCCCCCCCCCCTCGCGAACCAACAATTTACTTCTTATTTACTTCAAAATCGGCTCTTTCGATTATTTCCCTGCGCATTTCATTTCATGAAATTCGGTTTCAATATGGAAACACGTCTCACGAACAAATAATAATAATCTTTAAAATGAGCCTGGAAGGGGCCGCGGCTCTCGATCGTTGCACCTTAATCGCAACGTAAACCGCCGAATCCCGAGGCGACCTTGTGCTCCCGATTAGAAAGCCAAACCCGAAAGAGAACATCTTCACCATCGGTGCTACGAGCAAGCGCACAGACATTGGATGGGAGGTCGATTTGGGCCTGCCAATCAATTATCAATCGGTCGAGGCTCGCTTATAAACGAGCTCCACGAGCCAAGGCGACGACGTGGCCAGCCAACCAATAATCTCTCCCCACTTTCGCAGGTTACATACCCGGCTACAGCAGCAGGTACGGTTTGACGTTTATGAAGGCCGTGGAGGAGGGGGCGGTCGAGTGGCGCGAGCTTCAAAGTAAACTGAAGACGAGGCGAGACGCGATGCGCGCCCACAACGAGAGGATGGACCCGCGCAACTTGCTCTCCCGCGTTAGAACGGACAACGTCGAGGTGGAGATCGACCATGGGCACGACGACAGAGGGAGACGCCAGTACTTTGGTCAGTTTTTAGGACGCGTTTGTTCGCCTTATTGCGGCTGTTAGGGCAAGCGCGCCACGGAGGTCGGCAGGATCGACGCGATTAAGGGCTTGACATTGATGAACCTCGGGCTCGGGTAGGCTCGGTATGGCCGAGGTGGCCTCCGCGAGCACGGATCGATGTGCGGATTGTCGGTTCCGTGAACACGTGCATCGTTGCTATTCTTTCTTATGTCGATTGAGGACCCGTTGAGCTTAAACAACAAATAGCTGCCAAGACTCGCTTGCTTTCGGGCTGTAAAGGATTTTTCAGCCAGTAAGTTATTGAAGACAGTATGCTTTGATAATAAGCAAACGTTAATTGTCCCGTTAATCATGGTTTTCATGATAAAAGTTCGAAAGTAATGGGCAGTAAAATTCAAATGTCCGCGCGAATAGCGAACAAAAAAAAAAAAAAGAAGAAAAACCTAATATTTGTAATTGAGCAATTTAATCGAGTATTACGCCTACATTATAAGCATGTATTATTAATAATAAAGGCTTTTATATTTATTCTTTGAATATTTTCAAATCGATATTAGTACATATCCATGTCCAGCACAATAAATTATTTGTCTTCTCTATGACTCTGACTGATAAATAAAGTATTACCCTCTTGCCACTCGAACTATCAAAGTACATTTGATAAATTTATCAAATCCAGAGGCAGAACTCACTCGTAAATTTAAATATTACTAAAGAGCTTAAAGTATGTTCAAAAAAAAAAAAAAAAAAAAAAAAAAAAAAAAAAATATGTTTCGTAATCATAATTGAGTCGTATACAAGAGAATGCTAATTTAGATTATAATCTCTTCTAAATATAAATATAATTAACTTGCGCGCCACTTTCACCAGATATCTAAACATCTTAATATCACAAATCATTCATTCTAATCTTATCATTTGTCCTTATGGAGATAATTTTGCACGATTCGTCATATTATCAAATATTCTTAATTAATCGGACTAGAAATGCCCATGAAAAGGCGAATGTTTTGTGGAATTTTGTGGAAAAAAAAAATAATAATAATAATAATAATACAATTCTCACTCACAACAACTCTGCAAGCCGTTAATTAATAAGATTATTCATAAAAGTTAATAAACAATTACCGGCCGACCTCTGAGCATTAATTACTATTTGTGCGTTCACCGTGCTGTCTTAAATGTGTAAATAATCAAGCACATATGATAATTGCATTTTTAAATTAACTTACAGACAGATCCAAAGTGAGGCAAATCGTTAAAAACCGCTCAAAGAAAGTACATTACTCAACTAATACGAAATAAATTAAACAGCCATAAAATTTCCTTTTATAATTTTGATCGATGATGCATTAGGTAAAATTGCAATTAAATTCACGTAAATTATCCGAGTGTGCGAGGGAATTGGGATTGGGATTGGGATGGAGGGGGGGGGGGCGCGTAAATCCGCTATTTATCGACGTAATGCTTGGCTGCACCAACACACTTCTACCGATTCTACTCATCCATGCAAATTCCTAAGATTCTAACGAATGCACTTGCACTTTGTTCCTCTCGCGTCGTGCGTGAAAGCAATGCGTCGATAAGGTTTGCGCGGCCCCTCGAAATAAAGCAACGCGGTCGATGCGACAGGAAACGACGGCTCACGTCAGCATCTATCCGCACAGACAATCAGGTGTCAGCGGAGAGTCCGCCGATCGTCGGATACACGGGCCACATACCCGGAGCTAAGGGCGAGGTCGCCCTCTCCAAGGGATACGCCCAGGCTGCGAAGAAGGGCCTCGAGCTACTGCACAAGGAGCGGCAAATGAGACAAGAATCGACGATGAGCAACGCGGACGCGGTTCACAGGGTCCTTGAAACTGCTTACCTCGACGAGACGGGTCACACGAGACCCTAAGACCTTCCCGGCACGTTTTTCAAGCCACCTCCAACGCCCAATTCCTACGGCCGACCATTGGAGGGCCTTTCTACTTACGCCTTTTTGTTTTTTTCTTTTTTTTTTCTTTTTTTTTTTTTTTTTTTTTTTTTTTTTTTTTTTTTGTATGCGCGAATTAGCGCTGAATTTGATTGTTTGTACTATTAAATTGGTGGCGAAAAAGAAAGACATCTTAGGATATATTTAGGAGACGTGTCGAAGGAGTAAAAAGTGTGCTCAGCGTGTCATATAGGCTTTTATTGTGTATGTGATTGGCGTTTATGCGCGACACTTATTTTGCAGAAGAATATTGTCGAATCAGATTGTTTCGATCGATTATTAAATTGTAAATACAACTTGTACAATGCAACTTGAAGGAAATTTAAGCAACGGATAAAACAACAATGTAGGGGGAAAAAGTTTGTTTATCAATGAGAAAATTTTGCTCGTAATTATCCTTGGGATTTTGGGATTAAGCTTGGGCCGCATTATCGAGTATTCGATATATTAAAGTGCGAATTTCTTTCTCAATTTAAAATACAAATATAAATGTAGATAAATTATAATAATTTTTTTTTTTTATACCTTCAGTCAATTATGAGCAATTAAGGTTTGTAAAAAGCTATTTCTTTGGAAACGAATTTTTTAAGTCGCTCATATGTAGATATTATAATAGTACATGTAAGTATAGATAATTTGCTAATATTGTTAATACATTTTTATGTTGATTTTAAATATGTTGCCTGTGAATAAATATTACAATTTAATAATTGCCCACCGTTTTTTTTTTTTTTTCTTTTTCTTTTTCGTTTTACCATAATGTAATTGACATTAAGTCACTTGTCAGAAGAATTGAACAATTTGTATAAATTATGTTATTGGTTTTATATGTGATGAGCTTTTAACCGTTGATTATAAAAATATTGTAATTATTCGAATTTAGCGATACATTTTGTAACAAATTAAGTTATCAAAATATTAGCACCTCTTAATAATTTCAATATACTTTATCTCTAAATAACGAAAGTTGGTTGTTAAACGACTTAATTTTATAGAAGATATTTTGTAAAAGTTCTCTATTGCAAATAATATCAATAATTCGTTATATATATATATATATATATATATATATATATAAAATCTCAAAGATATAAGAATTATATGAAATGCACTTGTCTCAATACTATGGTGTGTGCAGCATTATCCGTCCAAATAAAATTAGAATTTCATAATATATCAAGCCATGATGTTAATCATTTTACTTGTGTGCTTCTTGATTGATTTGGATTATCATTAAGCCAAGTCTCGAAGTAATTTCCATTATTTGAAATATCTTCGATTGACCTCTAAATAGTGACAGGATGTAACGTGCTAATTTCATTTTTAATAATAATAATATCAAAACAAACAAAAAACAAACAAAAATAAAAAAAACAAACAAAAAAAAAAAAAAAAAAAACAGAAAAATGAAATTTAGCGTAAAATTTGTAAGCGTTACTAGGTTAAAAATCATTTATCTGATGCGTGATAAATGATTATTTAACTGTGTAAATAACGAAGAGCATTGTGAAACTGCAATCATGAGAGAAAATTATATATCGTCACGAGTCAAGTAATAAAACATTTATCAAAAAATAAATACAAAATAAATACAAAGTTAATAATATACATCTCACGCTAATTGTTCTTAATTCCTATTACGCTTCAATAATCTATTTTTCCTTTCCATTTCCATTTCCAAACTTCTTTTCCACATTTCAGGTGTTAATGTTTTAAAGCCATACGATAAGGACATTAACCGGGACAGTACCATTAATAAATGTAAATTATCCGCTGAGAATTTTTCATCATTTTGTCTCAATTTGACGAAGTCATCTTGAATAATCTAAAATGTTTTGTAATTCCTGTATTGTTTTCACATTACCAATAATAACGAACAACGCACTGAATTCCAAATACTTACATTTGTTGTTTCATCCGAAATCTCAAATTTCACCTTTTTAAGTGTATTTACATACTGTCGAATATTATTCAATCTCCCTTCGTCTTTCAAATATTGCGTCGCCGCTTCAAGGATCCGTGGATACATATTAATCGAGTCTGGATCAGGTTTTAGCATAATCTGAGTTTCACACTGAAATATTCTAAGAGTCAGTTTATACGAAGTAGTTGGTGTACATGAGAAACGAGGTCAATAGACTTACCGGTATGAAAGACTTAACATCTGATAAGATTAGAACAGGTATATCGGTCTCGTAATTCATATTATAAAATTTAAAATCGTATGCGAGTTTCTGAAATTTAGTCAAGTCGGTCATTGCACCATAATTTTGTCTTCCGCATACTGTAAGTTGACCTGTGGTTAAATTTGTCTCGTCTATAATCAAATGAGTATTATCACTAAGCTGTAGAATACCAGTAGTCAATCTATTACAGTCGTAATCTTTTCTGAAAATAAAAATTATAGATTAAAATCAAGCGCTTATCAATAATCTCGCATTATCAAACGTTAAGTGCCATTTTTCACATACTTGGGTACAAAATTCATCTCGTTAAGTGTTTCCAATGTAATATTTAAAAAATGACTTTTCGCAATAATTTGCTTTAAAATTTCATAAAAATCCTTTGTAAAATTTTCATATTCTTTTGGAATGTTAGTAATGTTTAGAGAGAAATTTCCAAGGCATAAATAATCCTTTCTTAAGTAACTGAAAATTATAATTTGAATATTAACAAGACATTAAAAATATGATATCGAGGTCAATCAATACATTACACTGAAGAGATCAAGTGACATATTAAATAGTCGGCTGCAATTTCATCACCAAAAAGTAGTTGGCTCAGTATCATTCGTAAGTCCCCCCTTATCCCTTCGGCCATTGAAATTATACCGGAGTTATCAGAATATTCACTGATTTCGTTGACAATTTTAATCGCATGTAATCGTGGAACTATAGAAGCTGGTGGATGATGGGTTTGCCTTTCGAGATCACTTAACATCTCATCGGAATCGACAGTTTCCCCTAAATTCGGATCCAAAGATAAAAATCCCACGATATCTATTATTTGATTTAATTTTTGGGGATATTCTTTATACACCTGAATAAATTGTATACATTACAATTATAAATTGTGCGAATTGAAATCAAATTCTCACACGATAATTAAAAACAGTTTGCAAAGTGTATTTAAACATTTGATTGCAAATGTTAAAAAAATTTGTAAATAAAAAATTTTCCAACAATCGCATATAATTGTAATTTTGTTATGTCGAAATCTACATTACTTTTTAAATGTACAATTTGCATATTTTAAGGACTTAATTTTACATAATATTATTCAATATAAGGACTATAGTTATAATTACTTTTACAATGCAAGCCTTTCCATTCTCGTTTGGTATGGGAAAGTTTAATAAGTAATCTTTAGAGACTATCATAGGAGTCGATTCATTTAATTGTAAAACACTGGCGTCGTTGGTATTATTATCAGTAATTTTTTTATCCTTTTTTTTAACCGGCTCCGAACAATCCATTTGCTCATCCGTTTGATTTAAACCTCTTTTATTACAATCACTCGTGCTTGGCTCTCTACCACATGTACGTATACGCTTTGTTAATGGTTGATTTCCTTTAGCCCAGTCGTTCAATCCGGGAGTCGATATAACAATCCACGTTTGTCTTTCCGAACTCTCATTATTTGACGAATCAATTGAAACTCGTTCATGAGGCTGAAATTATTGTTATTAGATATTTAAATTAATTTTTTCTCCATACTGCTTTTATATATAAGTAAAATTTATTGCAAAATTTGTCGGTAGCAGCATACATGAGATAAACTAAGCTTTAAGTATCTCACACCTGTAGCAACCTCTTTCTATCGGTCTTTTATAATCCGGAACGTCAAAAGATTCAACGGGGATTTTTAATACTCCTCCAAGACCATTTGTATTATTTTATATTTTAAGCAATTACATTATTCTTTCAATATTAATATGATAACAACAAATTTATTACATAAAATTAAAATCATTTATTACCTTACAACGGGCACTGTCTATGTACATACCACATTTGGAACTACGTTCACCTGTTTTTGTATCGATAACTTCATATTTCTTAAAATAGTACTCGGGATTGTACATATCTTGCAACATTCCTTGAAAGCGAACAAGCTGTCCATCTCTAAAGTTATCAAGCGATTCATAATTAAGCGAAGGAATTTCTTGCAATTTATCTAACTCCTCTAAACTCTTATTGCAATTTTCCTCATTGTTCAAGTAATAATCAACAGTCCAGTCGCATGGCTTAATAACTATAAAAGTAAATAAGTATGAAAAAGTTTTTAAAGAAGTTTCCTAACCTTCGAAAATTACTAATCATATCGTATAAACTTAAATGAAACTTCATTAATAATTACTTACTCATATTTAAAGATAACACTGTATATATATTTTTTTATAAATATCACAATTTGTTTATTATTCGGTAGAAGTATTTGCTTATATAACAAAAAAATTCAATGCTAACACTTTACTAATGGTACCATCCGCGCCAAATTTACGTAGAAATAAGAAATGAAACATTATTTAAAATTACTTAATTCAAACCCAAATTTCATTAGTCTTATGAACTTATAAATTTATTCTACAAATCAGTAATTTCTGATTTAAATTACATCCACGTGTCTTCACGTCATTTATTAATTCTGTTGATGTTTCACTTTACAGCTCATATGTCGAGACAATTTTAATTTTTTAAATATATTAATTATTAAATCATTTAAATCAAATTACTCACACATTCTAACGTTTGACACTGCTTCATGGTATTTTCAACGATGATGAATCTTACCATCCATTTGTCTCACGTTAATAGTGAAAATTAATTATGATTAAAAAAAAAAATAATAAACATTGAAACAACAAGAAAATGCTATTGTTTTTATAATGTAAGTAAAAAGAAAAACCGGAATACCATGACAAATGTTGAAATTCAATATAAGATTAGATCGATATTTAAATACTTAATAATAATGACGTTTGAATTTTTGCAATGTTTATTAATTAATAATTAATATTGATGGAGCAAAGATTTCAACTATATTAAGTGCAAATTGACATAAATTCTTAAATGAATTATGATAAGCATTTTATATTCCTAAAGTAAGGCTGTACTATTATTTTTATTTTTCTACATATACATTTTAGAAGAAATTGCTATCATAAGAAAGTACGAATGTTTGAATATTTATATTTATAATCTTGTTATATTTAAAAATGCTAAAGATATTACGAAATCTTGTTGATTTAATGCTTTATAATAATTTAACAAAAAGAACGAATTATTAATATTGTAAGAAATTTTACTCATTCTCACAGATTTTCTTTAAGAACAATAAACTTTATTTCCCATAAAAATATATTTTTAATTATTTTTATATACATATAAACTATTAATTAATTTACAAATTGCACACATCACAATCTTGATCTGAAGACATTGTGTTTGTAATCACTATTGCTCAACTTTGTTATAAAAACATTTGTTATAATAATACGAAGATTTGTTCAAAAAGTTAACGCAATATTTTTCTATTTTTTAATATATGATTTCATCTATCTATCTTCTTGTATTATTTTTTCAAAGTAAACCTCATTCTGCGCACTTATGCTAAAGTTTTTTTTTTATACAATATTCACAATGCTTCTTAAAACTACTATAATATAGAATTTATTTAGATTTTGTTTATAAATATCATGCAAATAGGAAAAGACTCGAAATAATTTTTTTCAAATTATTCAATGTTCGATTTAAGGTTTGAAGAAATTAAATTCATTGCGATGAATAAATCTATCGTGTTATAAATTAAAGATATTATAATACAACTTTTATTATGGCTGCAAGTAGCGTTTAATATAATTTTAAAGTATCTAAATAATATAAATGCCTAAATAACATAATTAACATTTATTATACAAATTATGAATTTTGTTTAATTTAATTTTTTTATAAAAATTTAAATATGTCTTAAGTGTAATTAATATTATACAAAATATCAACATTGTTTAATTTTCTTATTAAATCCGTTTATTCGTTAGTTATTGATATGTTTGCCTTTCGATTTCGTTATTCTATTGTTAGTTTTCGAAGCAGTTATGATATTTATAAACTAGACTTGTCTAAAGTCTTTAATAACAACGCACTAAGCTCACTTAATTCATTGAAAAACTCAAACTTTCAATCAATCTGCAAATTCAACGTATATATACTACCAACATTACTGCAAACGCATGCTTCCTAGCCATAATTATACTTACAGGATGAAAGAATAAAATAAAATAGTTTTTACCTTAGTATTAATAACCTAGAAAATTTTTTAAACTCTCGACTTTTTAACGAAACCTCGTGTTCTGCCAAAATCGAAATTTGAAAGTAAATTTATAACCATATGAATATTGTCTACATTATTTCAATAATAAAATGCATAATAATTAATAAATAATAATAATATGGTTATAACAAACTATTTTTCGTTGTCACTTTCCGACTTTAAAGTTTTTAAATCTCTCTTCATCAATTTAATGAAAGTGCTACCTTCGTTTACATCGGTGTTAATCGAAATTTTTTTCATAACATTCTGTTCGGACAAGTAAGCACTGGTTCTAATTAAATTTTCTAAATTGTCTTCGTTATCTAGCTCCTCGATATTTCCTTCCTTTTTCACATCTTTTTTCTGTAAATCGCTCCACTTTTTCGGATAAATTACTTTGTAATCTACAGCTTCCTCAATTGTCGAATTATTAACATGATTTTCCATTGTTTCATTGAAATGTGTCTTAGAAGTATCGATATCTTCCATATGAGTCATTCGCTTTCCTCTTTGATGCTCATCTAAAATATTTCTTCTTGCAGCGATAAAATCAGTATGGCTTTTAGTATTATTTTTTAAAGGTGAATTGGCATTTTTATTTGTCTGGTTACTCAATTTTAATACAATAGGAATTATATTTTCTTTATTTCTAATATCTTTATTACCATTATATTTCAAATCTCCTAAATTCATAACAATTTTTTTATCTTCTTTAAAAATATTATTGGCTTCATTTTCATTAAAAAGCTTATTCGACTGTTTGGTTAATACTTTAATGATAGGATCTTTAGACTCTCTAAATGAATTCTCAGATTTTTTATCAAAATTGGTATTTAATGAAACGTTTTTAATGTTTTTTAAATTTTCATTCTGTATTCTATTTTCCTTATCAGCTGCTAATTCTGATTCTTCTTTTTTTATCGCATCAACTGCTATAGCATCATTTTTCGAAACGGAATTAATTAATTTATCTGCTTTAACAATCAATGAATTTTCTTCTGGTTTTATAAGTAATTCATCTTTTTCTTCATTTTTCTTCAACGCATCATATACTATTTTAGCTTCTTTCATCAATTCCTTATCGAATCGGTTGATTTTATGCTCTGCGTCTTGAAATTTCCGTCTCTCCGTCACAGGTTTCAGAACAATTTCCTTTACTTTTTGTAATTGTTCCGTGTCCGGTAATCGTTCCACAGGTACTGGAGGCTCTTGACGCACATTATCATTATCGATAGGTTTAATAGGAACTTGTAATTTCGGCATGTCAGCATCATCTATTATAAAAAAAAAATAAAAACTGAAAACATGACGATGTAAATGACAATGTAAAAATTAATGATCCACTTCATTCTAAACAGCCGCACTTAAATTTTTTAATACTTTACGTAATGGTTTTAAGATAAATCTGAAAATTGGTTATAATTTAAACATTTTTTTATTAAACTTTAAGTTTCGCATTAATTGTACCCTTTATATTTAATAAATCATCAGGCTGTTTCGGTTCATCGGGTCTGATCAGCACTTCATTATTAGCCAGTTCACGAGGCATATTATTTACGTGATTAGAAAATTTTATAGTTGTTGCTGCATTTCTAGAAATAACTGATTGTTCCATTGCATATAGATTTGCGTATGTCCCAAGAATCATAATCCACATTCCAATAATGACAATAATCTGCATTATATATTGAAATTATAATTGCAATACTCATTTGATGTTTAAAGTTTATTAATTTGTGTAAATTTATTACCTGAGCGAGCAACCTTTCATTGGTATTTTTTGTGCTAATTGATATAAAAAAAGCAGCGGGGAATATAAGACATATTATAACGCCAATCGTCGATCCAACTATGCCCAAGACAAACTCAATATTAGGAATGAGTACTCCGGCGATTAATGCTATTGTTACAATGAAAGTTGTAAGGCATCTAAATCTTGCTTCGCTTATATAGCTAGTCGAGGTTTCGTGTGCATAGCCCTAAGCAATATAATGACGTTATAAGGAGTTGTCGTTAAGTAAATATTATTATTAATTGCATTACGTATTCGATAGGTTAAAATTTATGTTAAAATTTAGTTCTAGGCCATCGATTCAATTATAATTAATGATAATTCTTAAATGTAGGTTGTAAATTTATCTGAATTTACATGAACGATTACTTTCAAATTATAAATTGACTGGATAATAATAAAAATAATGGATAACGTACTTGTTTGAATAGCAAGGAATTCAAACTTGCTCTGCATGGAAAAATGACTAGCGGAAAACTGAATGCGACTGACAGTACAAAACCTATTTTAATTATTTCAGAAGTCAAACTCGGTTCAAAACTTAGTAAAATATTTCCTGAAAAATAGAGAGACCACTATTTCATTTTCTAAACAGACTGTATTATCAATTATATGATCTTATCATTTTATTTCAATGGTATAGTAGTAAGTTGAATACCTGTAAATGGCTGATTGGAAAAAGCGATATATCCAAACAGTCCTACACAAAGATAAACGCTTGTACAGATATTTAATGCTCCTCTAACTACTTGATTCATTTTTTCTAAACTAGCATTGGGCATAGCCTCGTAGATTTCAAACAACTGGGTTTGGCAAAAAAGAGCTAAAGAGAAAATGGGTAAACACTGAAGAATGCCGCTTGGTCTCCAATAATGAATTTTCTCAAGCCAGTCTGCAGAAAAAATATGATGCGTTGATTCAGCTATTACCTACGTAAAATATATATATATATATATATATATATATATTTATGTATATATACATATGCATATATCAATTGAGACATTTAAATGGCCGAAAAAAAAAAGAAAAACAAAAAGAAAAGAAAAAAGAAAAAAGAAAAAAGAAAAAGAAAAAAAATACGAACATTAAACTTGAAAAATATCTACTTACTTTCAAAACCAAACAGATATAAAATGCAATGGATGCAGTACTGACACTCGCGAGACTATCAATGTTTCTCAATAAGCCTAGTGGTAAGACGATAAAAATTCCAGTTGTTATGAGAAAGCTAGTTCTTATATCTTCTGGACTCTTATTAATCATTTCTCCAATAATCTGCGGACCTAAATCTCCGACGACAACAAAAAATGCTATACAAGTTCCTAATAAAAATCCTATAATACATAATTCGACTAAAAACTTTCCCATAGGTCCAAACGCATGAAACGCAAGAAACTCAAAGTTTCTTCGGCGAGACATTACCGCAGACTTAATGAGAAAGTGGCACGCCAATCGAGATAGTATGCTACTTAATAAAAGAACTAACGTCGCCAAGACAATACCACATTGTTTGAAACAAAACGGCATGGCTAATACGCTAACGCCAATTATACCATTAGCAAGAGTCATTACGTGAGAGATCATTTTGATATCACAGTTTTGACAATACGCATGGAATATAAAACAAATGTTTATCCTTTTTGTATACGATATAGATCAGTACATTTTCATCTGAAATTAAATATTGTATACCGTTTAATGAAAATTAGAAGTAAAGGGTTTGAAATGAATTAAAAATCATGAAATATAAATGGTTAAAATCTTTAAAATCATGATTTAATGGAAATAAAGGCTGGATACAATAGTAACATACCTCCTCGATTATTTGCCGAAATAATCACATGTTTATTCCACCGATTCAATTTTTCTAATAAAATCTATGATAATTGATTGTTGTCAACATACAATCGTAATTCATGGTGTTATGATGAATTATGAGAATCGACAATTTTTGGCGAAATGATATTTTAAAGGTTAAATTGTGCGGGCACCGTTACACACGGCAATTGAAATATCTTATAAATCTTGGCATACGTAAAGTATATCTCATGCATTTACATTATCTTCGCAAAGCCATTAATTATCAACTTAAAGTTTTAATTTTAAGTTAATTTTCAAAAACACATGAAAAAAGAATAAGAAGCTAAACGTTTATTTCAAAGCCCCGTGCACTTTCACTCCATTTTGAAATCGCTTCTGAAGAAAATAATAGGAAGTTTATTTAGAGGACCGGCTAATGGGACGTCATAGTGAAATTTATTCTAGCCATTCTCGTTCGCCCCTGCTTTCCCTATATGTTTATAACGGATTAACCATTCACCATTTTCCTTGAAACGTCTACAAAAATCCACGAGCTCTCGTTAAACAATTTAATTAATACGTGTCGCGTCTACATGTAATGCCTTGGTTGGCTACTGCTGCATTAATTTGCCTTGCAAAACAATTAAAAAAAAAAATGAAGCACGTTTATCGTTCTATATTATTTAACATTGTTTACATACAAATTATGTATGAATATTTTTCATTGCACCGTTGTTGGCGGCAATTATATTTGATGCCTATTTCCTTGATTTATACAGTCGTAAAAAAAAAAAAAAAAAAAAAAAAAAAAAAAAAAAAATGTTACATTACTGCACTTTACAATCGCTGTTAATTCGATTCTTTTATTCATTTATAAAATGTAATTGGATTTTCTTTTATTTGGATAATAAATTTTAATATCTGTTAAATAAAATAATGTACAGGGATATCGAAAGATTTACAATGTATCGTAAATTATTTAAGTAGCTGTGGTTATAAATATTATGAATAAATATAATTATTATACAAGGACATATTGGAGTGCATTAATTTCAATTTATATATTTCATATTAATGTTTACGAATATGGGGGCGCGTAATTATAAACGGTAAAAACAAATATGTTTGAATTTTATAAATAAAAGAGACGTTTCATCGGCAACTCGTTTGCTTCAAATATGTCATATCAAAGTAAAACTTTTAGAAAAATATTTTTCAATCGTTTCAATTAATTGCGTTAAAATTGACGATCCTTTATGAAATCAACGTCATCTATCATAATGATCTCAAGATGTTCCCTTTTATACAGAGCAATCAACTTCATTTATTAATGATTTTTTCCTTCTTTTTTTTTGTTGTTGTGTTTCGTAAAGCTACAGTAATAATAGGCCTCTTGCGTTGCTTTGTGTCCATAATAATTATTATTATCAATACGGTCGCGATGAATTCGAATGCAATTTTACAAGTTCGGATATATAATTAATCGATTGCATTAATTTTAATTTGATTCACAGATATCTATGCATCGCTATGGATGTTTATATACATTGAGAATACGGTATGGGATTTACAGATTTGGGGGGGGGTTTTTTTTTTTTTTTTTTTTTTTTTTTCATATACTTGCACAAGTATCTTTATTCTTTTATTATAAATATTTAAAAACATTTGAGTACTTTATACTTGGACATAAATATTATGATGTTTGTCTTATCTTTCAAAACTAACATTATTGTACGCAACATTACACAATATTTTTTGAATGATAATTAATTTAGAGTTAGGTAAATCGTTCATCAATTTTGTTTGAAATTTATTTGAAATTTATCGAACAGACATCTAACCCGACTTGATAAATACATAATATTGAATCTTAATAATTATATCTTCACTAAAAAAACTGAAATACTTATATATCATGTAGAAATCAATTGTTTCGAGATCTTTCGTGTATACGGCCTATGATAAAAAGAAGTAAAAAAAAAAAAAAAAAAAATAGATCACAAAAACTATAACTTTCATAAAAGCTATTTTTTTTATTTTTAGTGAAAATGTAATTGAAATTTATAAAAGAAAGCCTATCAATATTATGCTTGCACAATCTTTTACACAATCAAAAAATGATTTTTCCATAGGAATAATAATATAAATCTTCTTCTCATTTTAAAGTTCAATGAAATTATTTTTAAAAATTCAATAAAAAATACATCATTCACACTTCTTAACTATTCACAAATCGGACTAGCTGCTGGCAATCAATGCTATGAAATTCTGTCCTCTTATAATGCACCTTCAGTTTTATCGATAGTCTTAAGTATTACTTAAACATTATACTTGACTCGTGATTATTACTAAATTCCTCTCGCATAAAAAATAAAATATTATACACATTAAAACGAACGTCGTTACCACTCGTATTATTGCGTAATGGGGTTCGTTCTTCACAATTGGATTCAGTTTTATCTTATGTACAAAAATAGGAAGCGAAAAATGTGATTAGCTTTAATAACTAAAAGGTTAGAAAAACGAATTTTGACGCGCAATAACAATTTCAATAATTTAAATATTTGATGAAGTCTGAAAATATGAAGTTATAAATATAATCTTCGATACTAATGTGAAATAATGGTACTCTGAATAAATATGAATTTTCATAAACTCAACTATTCGATTAGTCTTAAGATTATATTTAAAACTGTATTATCCTTTATACATTTCATTAATAAGCAATGAGCATTTACATAGCGAATACTTTTACTTTTACCTTTACTACTTTTGCTATCAAAGCCAAAATTCGATTTAATACCATTTTAGTTTCTGGTTGTCTTAGTCTTATTGATCTTTTAAATATGTCCGTTAATCGATTTTGCCCTTTTGTAAGCCTAATTCGTTGGGCTCAGTCAAAAAAATTACATGACAATGAAAACTTAATATACATGAATGCAATTCAACCGTAAATAAACGGTTGTTTAAATAATGATAGCTCGACTTAATTACGATCTCACTATATTTTACTAAATACCTTCGAAAAAACTGACAGCCAAAAGAAAATTGCATCGATTTTTCTTTACTATTCACATTCTATTGAGTAATACGATTTTTAATATTCTTTTTTTTTCTTTTTTTTTTTTTTTTTTTTTTTTTTTTTTTTTTTTTTTATATATTTTTTTTTGTAGAAAATTCAACTAAGCGATTTAATAATATGCGCTAATAATAAATATGAAGAATTAACGTGTAAGCTGAAACGTATATCCTTATTCTAGAAATGAAAGAATTATTTTTACCTACTAAATTATCAAATTTTACAATTTAGAATAACGTTAATTACTTCGAACATTTTCAGTAATGCGCGCATTAAAAGAAAACTGATAAATAAAAAAATTGATTAAGCCATATTGCTTTTCCACGAACACATGTTTACTTAAGGCGCGTGCTTAAAATAAATCATTTCCTTATAGTAAACGCACTCGTCGTAGAAATTCGACAAATTTCAAAAAGAAATTGCAATCGATGTTCGTGGTTGGAAAATCTGGCTGTCAAGAGATATTTACTTAATAACTTCTAAATTCCATTCCTTAAAAGGATTTTCAATATGCCTAAATCAGGGATTTGCCCCGCCATCTTTTTTTGCTTCTTCGTTTGTAGCATTTGATTTATCATCCTTTTCGTTTTCTGTGAATACAATAAATTTCAATTATGTTGTGCGTTCTTATAAAATATACTCTACAAAATAAATTCTGTATTACGCTTATAGTACAGTGTGATCTATATACCTTTTACTTCAGATTTGATTTCATCTTCCTTTTTTATATCTCCTTCCAAATTCTCTTGGCCTTTTTCCAGTCGTGGTCGTTTCCTTGAACCCTATAAATAAAAGAAAAAAAAATTTTTTTTTTTCTCATTAAGTTAACAAATGATCCGATTAATGGTTTCAGAGTGACCAAAGCATAAAGTTTAAGGACCTTATAAGACCGATTGTCTCTTCTACCACCTTCACCTTCATCTTCACTATCGCTGTACTCATTTTCATGTTGTATCCTTTTGTCAATATCGCGCTGAGGTAATCTTTCATCGGGATTCACTTTTTCTTCTGCCTCAGAATCTTCAATAACAGCACCATCTTCGGGAATAGCTTGTACTTGAACACCTGGCGCATGTGGTAACATTCTTAAATTCTCAAATAATCGTGTCCTGCAAAGTATTCAATTCAGAAAACAATTAATAATTGCACCATTAGTTATTGTAATTTTAAAAGTACAAAGAGACTTGCTTAATTTTTTCTAAATATTCGGGAGTATTTTGATTGGCCATGTTCGAAGGACTAATATGCAACTTGAAATCGGGTCCAAAATATTCAAAGTAATCATTATATGGAAGCTCGTTGGCTATATCGGAGCCAAGTGCTACCGATGTTTCGTAGGTCCAACATCTTGATACATTTCTGATAGTATAACCACCACCTCCAACCATCAAGAAGGGTAAATTGTATTTTTTAACAAATTCGACGCACTTCCCATGCCCTCTCACCGTTAAATTAAAACATCCTAATCGATCTCCTATTAATGATAAGTAACAGGCGTAAGTATAATTGAGCAGGAATTATTAATACGTACGTTGGATAGATAAAAGCACTACAAACCGGTTAAAGAATCAGCACCGCATTGTAATACAACAGCAGATGGCTGAAAAGTTTCCATAACTTTTGAAATAATTGGTACAAATATAGATTCATAACTTTCATCGTCCATTCCATCCCTGAGAGGTATATTAACAGCATAATACTTTCCCTGCAAATAACAAAGTCCTTCGTTAAACCATAGGTGTAATATAATGAATTCTACAATCTGTTTTACTTTAAAGCAATGAGCGGTAAGTTTTTCCTGGTAAATACTATTATCTCATTTTTACATTACGAGACATTATTAATACCTTGCCAGCACCAATATCTCTGAGATCTCCAGTTCCCGGGAAGTACTCTCCATATTTGTGGAATGAAACTGTCATAACTCTGTCTGTTGTATAAAAGGCTTCTTCGACTCCATCGCCATGATGAACATCGATATCAATATACAAAACTCTTTGATGATACTTAAGTAATTCTAAAATTCCTAGCACAATGTCATTAACGTAACAGAAGCCCGAAGCTTCGCTCTTTTTTGCATGATGAAGTCCACCACCCCAATTTATGCAAATTTCAGATGCCTGTTTATTTAATTTTACAGCTGCAGCTACCGATCCACCAGCAGATAATTGACAAAATTCGTACAGGCCATCGAAAACAGGACAATCTTCACCAACGTTAACTAAAAAATTGATCAGAAGTTAACTTTGTCGATAAAAGAATCGAAATGAAAATGTATCAATTGTACAAGGGATATAAAACTTACATCTTTGCATTTGCTTATTATATTCTGTCATATTATCGGGCCTAATTGACCTCAAAAATCGAATATATTCATCGCTATGAAATTTGGTCATTTCATCTGCAGTAGCTTTATGCGGTCGCTATATAAAATTGTCCAATTTTATTAGTAATTTATTTATTATGATATTATATTAAATCGTTAATGGCAAAGGATATCGATCAATGATTACAGTTATGTGAAAATAAAATGATAAAAGCAGAGAAAGAAAATTTAAACAACGCTCAGACATCGCAATAGACTTACATAAATTTCCATTTTTCGATAAAGTCCATAATTTAATAATAAATTATGCGTCATCCTTATGCGATGTGGTTTCATGGGGTGACCTTGCCCATAGTAATAATTTCCAATATCACCTAAAAAATATTTCATTCTTTGAATTTCATAATTAATTTTATCAGCTGTCAGAATATTTAAGAAAGTTTAATAAGAAATTTAATTGAAACTTAATCTTATAGTTTTTACTAGTTTTCAAAATGGAGTCATAGTGTGTTGTGTATGAGATCAAATGCATTCTTTATGAGAAATATTTAATTTTTCTAATACTTCTCATAAATATTATATAAATTTGTAAATAAACAAATGCATATACACATGCATAGAGAGAGAGAGAGAGAGAGAGAGAGAGAGAGAGAGCACACACACACAGACACGCGCGCGCGTGTGTATATACGCAGATATATATATATATTCAACAGAGCATTATTATAATAAAATAAAATTATATATATATATATATATATATTAATGCAAATATAACGCACGCACACGTGCATACAAATTGTGCGTTATATTTGATTAGAAAGAAGAAATGACCAATATACATGAGTCCACGTACGTAGGAATATGCATACATGCAAACGCATGTGTGTGTACAGATATATATATATATATATAATACATGATATACGACCGCGTGTATACGCGCGCGTCCGTAAATGCAGGCACGCACGCATGCACACACGCGCAGGCAAGCATGCACGCACTCACTCGCTCACGCATTCACGCGCGCACGCACGCACGCACGCACGCCCGCATATGTACGAATAGCTAGTAAAGTTGCATTAGCATAATCAATGACAGAGAAAAAGGTGTTGGTAAATTTAAACGATTTTTATTATAAAGCATGGTTGTTAATTATCGATTCTGTATGTATTATTGCATGGACGCGGAGAATTAACGCATTTTAATATGGAGTTATCGTTATAAGTTTGATGGGTCTCTCGATACGGTGATTGAAATAAGATTAAAATTTTGTATGTCGTGCCGAACGAAAGGAGGCTCGGTACATAATTTGTTATTAACTCGGTTAAATGCAAGCCCTAATGAATGTCGGTGAGCATGGAAAATGAAAATGTGAGGGTTGTGGGAGCGCGCGCGCGCGCGCGCACACTTACGAACGGGCGCGTGTGAGAGTGTGTGTGGGCTCGCTATGAAACGGATGAAATATCACATTAAATTGTTAAAAAGGTAATAGTAATGCAAATATCGGCTAGATTAATCGGCGGGGGAATCGGGTGGAAGGAAGAGGTCGAAGCTAAGCAACGCTAAGACGACCAGGGGAGTCCCCCGGTCAATTCCACAAGTTGATAAATTCGGAAGCATGTTTTGGCAATACGAGGGGAATGGCGCAAAAATGTAGGAATTCTCATCGAGAGCGCGATGTAACGGCCGAGTCGTCAATGACGGGCTCAACGAGCGTTTAAACGGCTAAAGAAAAGCCCAAAAGCGATTCATGATTCTCGAGAAAATGCCATTTGAGCGGAAGATAGGGCGAGAGACTTTCAAGTGAACTACGGTTGCGCGCTGATAGGAGGACGAGACGCCTGGCCGCTCCGTAAACTACGGTCGTACGAGGCCCGGCCGAGAGAATCTCTCGGCTTAAAGTCGGACAAACCGTACGAGGGGCTCCAAAAGTCAACGGATCGCTAAGCTCGAGGGCATTACGGCCTCAATGGCGGCGGGCCGAGGTATGGCCGTGGGAATAGAGGCACCGGGGTTCGACCCGGGCTCGATTATCGCAAGCCCGAATAATAAGCGTCGCTCGTGGAAGCGACTACGGCCAAGCGACCGTCCAACGAATAAAACCAACCAACTCACTATCGTAGTAGTAGCAAACTCGCTTCCGGCTGTGCTGCAGCTGAGACATTCTCGGGGCTTCACCGAGGGCTGGAGGAGTCGGTGATATTGGAGCAGCGGGTCGAGCTCCGGCGGTCGACACTCGAATAGTCGACTGAGAAGCGCGGTCGACGACGGCGACGACGACGGCGACGACGACGGCGACGACGGTGGCGGTGGCGGTGGCGGTGGTGGCGGTGGCGGCAGCGGCAGCGGCAGCGGCAGCAGCAGCGGCAGCGGCAGCGGTAGCGGCGGCAGCAGCAGCAGCAGCAGCAGCAGCGGCGACGGCGGTGGCGGTGGCGGTGGTGGCAGCGACGGCAACGGCAGCGGCGGCAACGGCAGCGGCGATGATGGTCGTGGAGGTGGAGGTGGAGGTGGAGGTGGTGGTGGAGGTAGTGGTGGTAATGCTAGTCGCGGTAGTGGTGGTAGTGATGGCGATGGTGGAGTTAATGGTGGCGACGGTGGCGACGGTGGTGGTGGTGGCGGTGGTGGTCGTGGTGGCGGTGGTGG